CCCGCCAGTCCTTCAGTCCGGCAGTCGCTCCGTCCGGCCACCGCTCTCCACCTCAGGAACGCTCCGAAAAACAAACCGCTGGTCACGCAGCTCGCCCTCTGTCTGTCACTCACTCCAGCGCTCGCCAATCCCAGGCAGCCGCTGGACCTTCACACCGCCCCCTCTCACTCCACCATCCAATAATTAGGAGGCAGTTCAGTGCTCCGCCTCTGCTCTGCTGGGCTCCCTCCAACACCCTCACTCTCAGCCGCCAGCTAATCATCAGCACCATACGATGAAACCAGTCCCGCCTTCACTCTCAGGATGCCAATGGGCGAAGCCAAGGCGGTTTCCTAGCGCCGTCTCCCTCCTGTCAATCACCGAGAGAGAGGCCCGTCACTCCTCTACTAGCCAATCACATAGAGAACTCAGAGCACCCGCCTCTTTGCATCTCTCTTGGGTCTCCAGGAGGTGTTGTTGCTCCAATCACGGCTCAGACATGAGGCTCCACCCACGTTCCCACCTCCCGTCAGTCACTGTTGGCTCGGCGGGCGCGCGGGCTGGCGTGGTTCCCTGCCGGCTACTTTGGGGCTGGAACCGGGGATTTGGGAAGGCGGTTGGAGGGGCGGTCGGGCCCTCTGCCCTCCAGGTCTTCCACGAGTCCCTTCATGCCGACGCTTCCCTAGGCCAGTCCTCGCTCCTCCCTGTGTCCAGCACCGGGCGAGGAGGGTTCTGGCTCCGAGCGCTTCACAGCGTGTCGCCACTCTTCATGCATGAACCCGTAATCTGTCCTCTGATCCAGACGCTGCGCTTGCCCGAATACAGAGGCTGCACCTCCACTGTCCCTTTCTTTACTCGGTCATTTACCTCTGCGGTCACACCCTCTGGTCAATGTTGCTCAGATCCAAGAGGCTGGGGATAGCCCTGGAATGTGGGTCCTTGCTGTGTGAGTCTGCACAAAAGTAGATGGCGAAGCCATTAAATTCTTTTGGAAAATAATTTTTCCCAGTTATAAAAGCAACACAAGCTCTCTGTAGAAAAGTTTTTCAAAGTGGCCTATCAAGACTCGATGGCACATAACAACAACAATAAAGACTAAAATTCTACTCCTGAGATAATTTTTTAAATCGACTTTCTACCTAGATAAGTAGTATTTGACTAAAAAAAGTTTCGTGTGATTTCCACTTCTTACATTTTATTTTTACATGGCTATTTTTTCCATATCATTATTGTCCCAAATATCCCTGTGGTTCTAGGGTTGTTAACAACAACATTGTTCCAAAACGGTTGAATTTACCATTGTTCCAAAACAGTTGTATTGGCTACATGCTATTTCAAAATGTTGTTAGGTACTATCAAGAAAGACCCATAACGACCCTATTATCAGCTAAGCCGAACCCTGTCCTGTCCTCTGCCATCCTCATCACCCCTGAATAGACTGGCCTGAATTAATTTCCCTAGCCTCCTATTCAACATTTTATACATCCAGATGTTCTATTTCCTTCCAAGTCCATCACAGTTAATATAGGCCCCCTTCTGGATCCTGTTGCAGTGCAATCTGAGTCAACCAGAATAATCTCCCTTGGGTGCCATTCTCAACTGTCACTTAAGAACCTTTCATGCTCACTCGTCAAACAGTCAGAATCTACTTATCACTGACCCTCCTTTCTGTTTCTAAGGCTGTCAATCATGCAGTAGTCACTGGTAGATGTGAACCATTAGGCCCCATTTTTGAGTCAGCAGTGACACTCCCTATAAAATAGCAATGTCTTGATCACTGTTGTATCATTAGCACTTGGAACAGTGCCTTCCACGGAATAGATGCTCAGTAGAAATCTGTTGAATAAATGAATGGAGGAATCATGCTAGAATTGTAATACAGCTACTTCAGTCTGTAGCTGAGAAGTCTTCAGACTTTCCTTCTACCTCTCCAAAGGCTGCTTTCATTGTGGGCCTTGTTTGCACTGTCTGTCCTTAGTTAGTCTTGCTTCAGTCCTCATGAGGTCTCCAGATTATGAACTGGATGTCTGATTGAAGTCTGTCTTTTGAGCTCCACAGTCACTTCATGGGGTAGTATCTCAGGGGTACCTCAAATTCTACAAAACCAAATACATCATTTTCCTCTATAGTTCAGATTTCCTCTGTCCACCCTCAAGTCAGATATCTTTGATTTACCAGAGTGCACTTCTTGTCTATTGATCTCCCTCCACAACCAATCTTGACCATGTTTTAAATCTCTCTGCTCTTCTCTAGCAAGAAAAGATAATGGTCCATAGAATCACTATCCTAATTTAAACCACTAAACCTCTCATTTGGCATCTGACTTCTAATCCTGCTATGTTCTACTTAAAAATTGCAATACTGTGAGCTCTGATGGCCTAGTGGCAAGAAGATGCACTGCAATCCCAGAGGTGAGTGGTTCAAATCTACCAGATTCTATGCTGGAGGAGGGACAATCTCCTCTGTACCAGTCAGATCTGATTTGACAGTACACACACACACACACACACACACACACACACACACACACACTGTTGTTGTTATGTGCCGTCGAGTCGC